GAACACCAAGTTTGATGCACCAGCCGTTCAAATCAAGCTTATGCTTACGTTTAAGCCAATCGCAGGACCATTACTGCAAGCAGAGCAGAATTCAATGTAAAAATTAGACGGCTTTCGGCCTCCATATGATAAAGTGATTCAGGGCAAGATTATTTTCAGTCATTCGATAAATTCTAAGGCAGTAAACGACATCCGTTGAAGACAAGCGAGCTGGAGATATCCAGTTTATCAGACACAACATGCTTATCCTTTAACAAAACAACGAGCATAACGACCAGGTGACGGCTTACATCAACATTGGCTGCTGCCTATGCTAACAGACACCGTTTTTGCCTGCTTAGCAGTCGTGCTAAATCAGGTTGTTGTTGTCGTTGTTGCCACGGTTGTAAAAATCACTAGTTTGCCCGGCTCAAACGAAGGCCTGGATCGTTGCTGTCCACCAATGATGACCAACCGCATGATGTCCGGCACCAAGTTTCCAACCAATTTTACTTCATAGTTAGTAAGAGTACATTTCTAATGCAAAGGGGAGTTCAAATTCAGTTCTGACAGAGTCCAATCAGGTCTTTACTTGTCAACCTCATTTACAATGCCATTCAAGAATCAAGGCGATGTTCAGTGTAGTGGAGATGACATATGTGGACGTCTCAGTACGCCGTTTCTCACTAGGATAGCAGAGGGTTGGATGATGGTGCAAAATGCATATGCAAATTCACATGTTCTCCAATTGCTGATAAACCAACAGATACTGCATAATCTCACCAGTACCATCAATAGTAGTAACATGATGTTTAAAAGAAAAGAACCCACTGCAAAGCCACCCAAAGTCATTTGTAAACCGCCATTTTTGTGCATTGTTTTTGTCATGATTTTGTTATCATCAATCGATTGGTTGTAATCACGGGGATGCTTGAGTTCACTGGGCAAACCATTCTCAAATCATTTTCGCAATTCTGAGTGACGGATTCATTTTTGAATGCGAAGCTTGCAGAAAAATTCATTAGATGTTCGTTGAACTTTAAGACATTTGACCGACGTGCCTAAGGCTGCATTAAGTTTTCAATTAACAGGCATACGACATTCGAAATGCCTTGCATAACATAAGCAACAACAAAAACAGGACTCGTGAAAAATGATCGGCGGTTCAGCAAAACAGCCTCAAAGAGGGGTGCACAGACAAGGAACCAAGATTCGTAAGCAGACTTGGACTCCGCCGGGTTCTTTCATTATGGATAACAATTTGAAGCCACGCTGAGTTTATGCAAAACATGGTACATAGCGGGTGTGATAATCATTACGGTTTTTATATAAGGAATCAGACGAAGATCCTGAGGAGCGGAGGACATGGCATCGTTCGAAACGCGACTCTCGCGAAATGCGCTGAATTACCATCGTCCGACCATTGACCATATGATCTGCTGTAGAACCGGCCCGTCTGACCCTGCTAGAAGCCCAGTGAAAACTTTCCCGGCGGATTTGTGAAAGAGAGAAATTGCTAGAGCAGAAACGCAATGCCATCAATGAAGCCGACGTTGAAATTTTCCTCAGATGTCATCCTATTCAAAAAAGGTTACTTTTCACAGCGAGGCACATAGCTGTTCCCCTACTGCCAGAAACTACTGATGATAAACCTCGATTTATTGGTTTGTACCCGAATGAGAGCAACGAAGAACTTCCTCATCAATCTGAAATGCAGTATGACTTTAGTGTCGTTGAAAGTAATCAGCAACAGAGAAGATGAGAATATATCCCTTCAATTTGCAATGCCTTTAAACGGTCCAAGTCCGGGTCATCATCAAGATAAAATTATAATAAAAGAGATTTTACACCCTCCATTTATACAACTGAGTTCTGAAGAGTTAGTAGGGAAAAGTGGCGTTTCCTTCCCTCGCATCTACAAGAATAAATGATTTAGGATGGTGGAGGGAAAACCGTAGTCGGCTTTTGCATCACGGTCGCATGATGAACCATAAAACGAACGGTACCATCGATGAGAAAGACTTTCGCGAGGATGTGCAGGATAGAATGATCATCGTCTTTATCGAGATATGCATACTGCACCGGAGATTGCTCGGTCGGTAGAATTTCAGACTCACACACAGAAGTGCTTTTAAGCCGGGGTCGGTTCACTCCTTTTTCCGTGGTAAATAAATGGATACCACTTGTTCAGAAGGAAACCGAAGACTACGTGTATAAATCGTCACATATCAGTTGTTAGTCAGTCAGTCAGTCAGACAATCAGTATCGATTAGCGCTTTTTCTTGCGGGTCATGAAGAGGGGGGGGGGGCAGAGGCGTCAGTGTATGAGCCTCTGCAGACGATGATCCGAGCAGAGTCTATCGAATCAACTGCTCAAGTCATTCTTGTTCGCCTCTTGGGTCTTTGGCCACTTCGCTGAGCAAAATGCTGTTTCATGTTTCTTACTGGAAGCATGAGTCATTAAGGCATTTCAGGCAAATAATCCCGTTAGATCTCTTAAGCACAGGAGCATATCGACATTAGGAACCGGCCGTCGAAAACTGGAACATCCGAAGAACACAGCTATTACAGTTGACGTCCCAAAAGTGGAACTAAGCACTGCATCATAAGATTCATAGAAAGGTGCCATAAACGCATAAGGCAAACTGACAACCCGAGTTGCATATCCATTTTTTCTTTTCTTCTCATTGAAGCCACCCTTTTTTGGGCAACAGTCTTAATGCTCGCCCTGTCGCCTCTTATTATGGGCAGAATGACTATACTGTTCTGTCACCGATCAGTTTTCAGTGTAGCCCATATAATCTCATCGATCATTTGTAGGATTTACTTACATGGATGATGGATCCCAATCATTTTGAACGGATTCACAGTCGTACTGTCGTTGACGGATTTCGTCTTAAAGATATTTGCAATCTCTGCGTCGCTGCTGGTTGGATAACGGATCCCATGCGTTCATTTTTGGTCTTTCGAACCAAGAAAAATACACATCAGTGTTTCGTGCGTTCCATACGTTAACACCGCAACTCGGTCATTCAGCAAAAATACAAAGGGAGAGAGCATTATGTTAATCCTTAAGCTAAATCTACAGGGAGACCGTAAAAAACAGAAGGATTCATTTTGTAAGCCTATGGAAGCCAGCACCACAAACGCTACAGAAAAGAAAACCGACCGACCGTCCGAGAGGAGCTGAACTCAAAAAAAAGGAAAAGCTGTTTTTCACGCATGACAACGTGTCGCGACCGCTTGACAGAGGGCACTATTGAAAAAAAGCTATTTGCTTGTATTGAGGTAATAAACAGCGATCGTTACACACGTACTTCATCGCGTTCATCGAGAGATGATCGTGTCACGACGATGGGGCGGCGGTGGGAAGGAAGAAGAATGGCGGCCATTGGCCGAGCAGTGGCTGACATGACCGAGCCAGACATGCCGGGCCCGGGCATAACGATTAGATTCGGATAACAAATGAACGATCGGCTGTCTGGCTCCTACGATGGCCATTGGCCGTCACTTCCCCAATGACCACCACAGACCACCAGTCAGTCCAGCAGATCTGGCCGTCGTCGGAGAAGATCGCTATCAGGTTTATGGTGACTGCTGGGACGACGGCAGATGCGACATCCTTGACGACATGGCCGGGCCGGGCCGGGCCGACCGACCGACCGACCGACGTCACTCCGACATGTCCTCGTCTCCGTGTGTCTCTGGTTGCAGCTAAGCAGACGTCGGATCTGTCCGTGTTCATGAAGGCTGTTCGACGTCGGAGTCGGTCGCACGGTCGATCAATGCAGGCAAACGAACGAACGAACGAACACCGCAAGCGAAAGGCTATTTACGACCCGCAGAAAGATCGTTCGCAACGAAGTTTTATAT